CTTGTTGGTTACTGACGGTCCTGATAACAACCACGACATCCACTTTTGGCTTCCATGCCATCTGGAATCAGTTTGGCCTCACAACACGACGGAACGAATAATGCCGCCGAAACCAACAATCAGGAGTTCCCACTAGGAGTGTTCCAGAATGGCTCTATCACATCAGAAATAAAATTTTTTGGTAGAATCAGGTCTCCTAGCCTCGCAGAAGTGCTTTCCGGATGTGCAGGAGGCATTTTTGAGAAAATGCAAAACGACGAATCATGGAGGGATTCGAACCTCTCGCCTCGCATACTTGAGCGCGGCATACTATCCGCTAGGCCACCGATGCTCTTCGTGTGACGCCTCACGTCTCATTTGTGTACCAAGCTCAATTGTGCTCCGTACAACAACCTCCTGCATATCTCTGCTCAGAGAATCGTTTAGCAGATATGGAAAGCAGATTTGAAATCAGCGTCCGAAGACGCATCAGTGTGTATGCATCTTGTCTTAAATGGCCACTTCGACCAACCATCCTTTCCTTGTGAGCTTCAAACTTGCATCGCGCCTGCTCCGGTCGCTCAAGCGAGATTGTAAACGATCGAGTTCCTGCCCGGATGACAACCATTTCTCTTCTTCTACTTTCTTGTTTTAATCATACCCGTTCTGGGCTGAGCTGTTTCTTTTCGAAGTCGACCCTTTCTCCCATCCGAGGTATCTCCTGCGCTGGCTTTGATTCCATTCAGGTTCCTCTTGATGGCGACCCTCTAAAATTTTCTTTAGCGCTCCTCGGGTCGCCTAGACAGTAGTTACAGTCCCGGGTGTAGACATCTTCCTGAAATTAGAACAGGTTTGGTGGATCCACAAAACATTTGCGAGAGGCAGTAGTTCACATCCATGACATGGTGCATTCCTCAATTATCATTGGTCACTGGCCGCTAATTTATGGGATTATTTCATGTCAAACATTTTTGTAATATTACTTGTGGTACTGAGCAGTACAGAACTTATATGCTGTTATTGAACCTGCACTCAAAGACAAGCTGTGCACTTACTCTCCAGGAACCTGGTCTTTACCATATGCAAGGTGGTAGTAGGGTGCCGCTTTCAAGAGCGCGGCAACGGCTTTCCCATCTCCGCCCACTCTGCCCCAACGTCTGAGCATAACCGAAAGCTCCAGTGGTAACCTCATTTCTAATTTTTCTTCACCTCTCCATGTTCACTGTGGGATTTTGGTATCTACGCAATTAGTCATTACCCTCCATCCCCATTTCCGTGCACTCATCCGCGGGGAGAATCTGACGCTACTGCAATTGCAGATCCATTCACCGATGGAAAGGACAGCCGTGACGATTGCGCAGTTTCAGTTTGTCTTTGAAGTTGAATCAACCGACCATAAGGTTTCAGGTGACTGTGCTTGTCCGCGATGTGAACGATCACTCACCTGTAATCCATAATTCTGAACAACTCAGTCGCCTTACCGTATCCGAGGACGCTCCTATCAACACCACTATTACGATACTGAGTGTCAGTGATGCTGATGAAGGTAATCCAAACATCATATTCATTCATTCTGCGATAATCTGATATTTTACGTCTCTTGGTGTGCAAATTCTGCAATATTACGTAATGGAAAGTGCTATGAAACTTCTGTTTATTATTAGCAGGTGGAACGCAGTCGATCTCACTGGATGCAAATCACAGGCTCTTCCGTGTCACCGATGAGCAGAAATTAGTTGTAGCCGAGAAATTGGTCAACTATACTGGAGAACGGGTACGTTTTCTCGTAGGCAGCTCCATGTGGCTCAAACTTTCGAAGCGCCCGAAATCAGGGCACATAGAACACTACTCGATGTGAGCGTGAGTTGGGTATGCGCTATTTGCCTACAGGGGATTGTACAAAAGGATTATGTTTTCTCTTTTGAACCTTTTGAGATGCGGTATGCGTTTCACGTAGAATCGCAGTGGCTTACTGTATGCGATGCGCTCTATAAAAGGGGTTGCGAGGCCAGTCGATGTGCAATTCAGTTTTTTTATTTCCCATACGAATCTGATGCCGTCGGTGGAGGAGAAGGGTTGGCTGCCCCGGACCGTAAGCAGGCCCCAATGAGCTGGAAAATCCGCGATCGCCTCAAACCGCATCGGGCGCTTCATGTGACATGCTGCTGCTTGAGAGCTACCGCTGAATGCGGAACTAGCGACAGGACAGTAAATTTGCTTCTTGTGGGACCATGGGTTTTTGAGCTACCAAAATAGCCTTAGGAGAGTTGTCTCATTAAAACAGTCAAACTAAGGTTCGATTGAGTAAGAGGACACGAGTCAAATGCTTACGTGTTCCAAAACCCTCAGCAACGCCGAGCCCAGATCATTTACTGCCCTTCACAGCAGCTTCTGGTTAAGTTTTCCCTCAGAACGAAGTCGGCGTCTAGGAGTGCTATGTTGTAACGAGTCAACTAGCCAAGACTCCTGGCTAGATTCTGCGCGCTGGCGACCTGAAATGGGGTAATGCGGTGGAAGGTGCAGCAAAGTGCAAGGTTGACCAGAGAAGTAGAGCATCTGAGGAGGGTATGTGAGATATTTATTCCGGGGTTACGGAGAATGTGCTCTATGTCCTCATTCACGCTACATTACAGAAGCAAGCAGGCAGACCGGAAGCTGCTAAAACTTCGCCTGTCTTTGCTCCTATCAGACTGCGTTCACACGTTGCGGCAGCGTCCACCAGCGTTCACCAGCGATCGGGAGTAGAAGGTATGGGGAAGTAGGGGGGGGGGGGTAGCAAACAGCTGGATCAGGCCTGGCAAAATTGTAGCGTGTCCTCCCGCACCGCACAACTCACGCAACCATCAGCGTCTCGAGAGAATAGGAAAGAATGCGTGTTCATCTAGTGCCTACAGCGTCCACCCGCTTCTCCCAGTGACCACCAGTACGGTATTGTGTATTAGTGTGGTACGGTATCATACGCTGCAATTTCGCGACGCCTAATGCAGCGCTTGCTGCCCTCCTTCTCCCCATACTCTCCACTCCCGGTCGCTAGTGAACGCTTGTAGACACTGGTAGACGCTGGCAGACACTAGGTTGATACCTACAATTCCCTAGCCCTCAAGACGCTGGTTGACGCTGGCAGGTGCTATATTGATGTCTATACATTCCCAGTCGCTGACGCTGTCGGACGCTCGGGCGCTGGTAGACGGTCTTGGACGCTGCCGCAAAGTATGAACGCAGCCCCACAAAGAAATTCATTTATGGCAATATATTAGTAAGTTACTGATTATCTTCAAAGCTTGACAACGTAAGACTTGTGAGAGTTGAACGAATTGGGCACATTCCACTCTTGCAGGCTGAACTTTTTGAACTACTAACTGTTCCTCATTGACGCTCTGCTCCTTCTCTCTGTTGTACGAAAATGGGGGACCCATTAATAAGGAAGGTGTAAATTACTCAGGTGACATGCAACTGCTGCGTAGTGTGCCTCGAAAGATATCCAAAACCTAATGGTTTTCGCTGTTCCTGTGACTTGAGAAGCGCTTACTGGGTATAACTCGTACGGAGCAACTTCTTGCGAATTTCAGGCGCTTCGTCAATTCTTGAATATTTTAAACAATTCTTATTTCAGCTCTGTTCCAATATTACGGCCACCGACTCCGGCTCTCCGCCTCTCTCGGTATCATATCCCTACTGCGTTACCGTATACCCAGCGTCCAACAACCACAATAGTCCAATCATTGGTATGTTTATGAAAGAACATATATAGTTCAAAGCTACACCGGGAAAAATAATTTTATTTTGTGAATCTGCATGGTTCAGTTGATTCATTGTCCAAGACTCATGTTTACGGTATTTATTTGTTTATTCACAAATTTTCTGTTAGTTGATTTTCTTTTTCGTTACCT